TTTTATTCCTCGTTCATATTTCAACTTTGAATACATTCTTTTCAAAGGCTTTGAAAGCCAATTCAAAACTAGAAATTTGCACTATATACAGTACACTTCAATCCTAGTAGTTTGTGAATAAGCTGTTGTCCTTCAATAAATGTTCCACGTAATATATGCTGGCAACTTCTACCATATGAATTCAATTTAGTCTAGCTTCCAGTGACCTGAGATTCTCTGAAGCCTTGAAACTTAGTTCTAGGCTGTGTTGGCACCTGTCAGCTTAACTTGCCTGTTTTCTACGCATAGCAATCGAAGACGGCGACACTGATCTGATTGTCATGCAGCAGCCCTTCTGTAGAATATCAGTAGAATCTGCAATACTTTCCAGTCATAAATCGCATTGTTGATCCTTATTTAAATTAAAGTAACTTGTTTTGATACTACTACTACTAATAATAGTAATAACAATGATAATATTCGCTTTATTCCAAACAGCATGTGTGCTACAGTATGGAATTCTCAGTACGTAATATCTTAAAAAAATAATTCCCTGTACATCATTTTTAGACAAAATAATTATTGCATGTGAATAATGTTGATAATAACAACAGCATTATAGGCAACAATGCGAAACAGGCATCTGCTACTCTATTAGCGCCGGTTTGGACAAGGAAAAGAACAGAAAATTGAGAGTAATTTTAGTTGTGGTAGTTCATTCACCCCGTATCCTAGCATTAGTGATGTACTATAGTTTTGAGCAACCATATGTCCATTTCCATGTACCGTAACGTTTTTTCATCTTTTTGTTCTTAGTTTAAAATCTGCAGATTGAAAATATTTTAAAAATATGTCCGGAAATATGACAGGCTTTGAAGACGTTTGAAAGAATAAAAAGAATTGCAGGGGAAGAATCTGATGAGATATAATCTGTGGAAAGTGTTTGGTAGCCCAAGTTTTAAGCAGGCCAGCTGTACATAACTATTAACTTTAATGGCTGTGAAAGCACTGTCTCAGATACGTAATACTTTAAGCCAACAAGCAGTCAGAAGTTGTGACATATATGTCAAGATCTTTAGGAGTTAATCCATGGATAAAAAAATCCATTTTTCACCAAATTCTGTACACCTTTATAAATATAACTAGGCAATTTCACACGAATGTTCTTCTTGTCGTAGTGGAAAGGATTTCTGTACACGACGGCAATATTCTGAAAGCGAAACGCTCAGGACTATACTTACCCAGACAAAACATTTAAGAGTTTAATTTTCGTGTCCGATTGAAAAAATTATTTACTCGTTTTAACACTGTCGTCACTAAATTAGGGTAATGCCTTGGAATGAATTTAAAATTTACTTATTCACCATCAATTATATTTTTGCATTGGACTAAAACAATTTGCGTACTATTATTATTATTACTACTAATATTTGTACCTTGGGTTCCTAGTGAAACACAGAGCTTCACTAGCACGTCTCCATTCCACTCTGTCCTCTCAACCTGGCTCCACAAATGCCCACATGCTCACATTTCTTCATCACACAATCTACTCCATGTCATCCTCAGCTGGGACGCCCAACTCGCCATTTCCCATCCGGGTTCCACTCGAGGCCTGGCACGTGATGTCTCCGAATGGTCTTCTCAGTGCATGCCCAATTCACCTCAACTTCCTTCTTCATATTTGTTGAGCGATAGGTTCTTGGTTGGTCCGTTGCCAGCCAGCCAGCCAGACTTCCTTGTTGCTTATTCTTAGTAGTCTGGCCATCTGAACTTCAGTAACGAGTCAGCGTAGGCAGTTGTTGATGAATGTCTGTAGATTGTTGGAGATGCCCTCTCGTAACGCGCCAAGTCCCTCACACATATAGAGGCACAGACTTGACTCACGTTGGTGTTGAAAATCCGGATCTTGTTCGCGATTTATGCTGAGTGCAGAAGATCTCCACAATGGTTTTAGGTTCAATTTTATCGAATACCTCCATATTCCGTATATGTTTCATTTATCTCACTTTTCCAGAGATAGTCCTAATGAATGTAGCCTTTGATATTAAAATATTTTTACTTCAAATGGATGTTTTTACTATTTATTGACATACTTGTTTTGCTCCATTGTTTTGTTCGATCGAATTGTTTGACCTCTATTGGCATATGGGCTCGTATGCGGATGCCTCGATACTACCTGAATGTCAGTTATGATAAATTGGTTGGTTGTAGCTAGCAGAAGAAACCAGGATGCGCATTTCGTCCTATTTGCGACTAGTCAGCTAGATGTACCTGCACCCCAGTGAGTGGTGTTGTTCCCAATGGGACTCGAACCCCGTATCCATCATAATTAACATTCAGGCAATATGGAGGTATCCGCATAGGAGCCCATATGCCAATAGAGGCCGAACAATTCGACCGAACAGAACAACGGAGAATAACAAGTATGTTAATAAATAGTAATAACTACTACCCGTTGTACAAGAAGGGGCTGTCGTTCATCCGTGGCAGAGTGGGTAGCGCTTTGGTGTTTGAAGCGATGGGTACAAGGTTCGAGTCGCAGTGGGAACAACATGACTGGGGTGCAGGTACGCTCAGCTGACGAGTCCCAAGTAGGACGGAACCCGCGTCCTAGATCCTTCTGCCAGTCACGATCAACGAATTTATCATAAATGGATGCTTATTGCGAGGAAAGTAAAACCGTTTAAATTACTTAAATTCACCAGTTATGTTTACAATAAATGAAACATACAAGTTTTTGAATATTAGGTTGCTCAGAGCCCAATCAGTGTTCCGTATTCCATTGAGGATGGCTGATATCTGCACACATACACAATAACCACTAAACATATTTTCTAACTATTATCTCAGACTCATAAGGATGATAAAGGATTTATACTAGAGAAACGTCTATTTTTCATGCTGCGTACATCTCTTAGTTAACCGGAACGAAACTATAAGGCGCTTGTATTTCCATTCCAGCTATCTTATTTCGGTGTTCATGCCTGTAATCTCTTATCTTTGAGTGGACTGAATCAGTCGGCGATTCTTGGAATATGAACTCCTGTCAATAGTGTCCAGTCAATTCAGTCCAATCAACAATAGAAATTAAGAAGCCATAACACCCAAAATCTACCCATTTCACAAAGGGAGGCTATTGTAACTCAGTAGCCTAAAAGATAACTCTGCTGCGTTGATGCTGACGAGTTCTAGGTTAGTGGCTTAGTCAGGCCAACAACAACACTTATTCAGAAGTAGGTGCCTCGACTTGACGAATCCCAAAAAAGCGAAATGTACGTCCTGGATTCCACTTCATTTGTTTAGCTAGCAAGGTGTACTTGCTATCGTACGACGCCGAAAAGTTAATTACTTTTTAAACCACGTGCTGAACTGGTTTATAGGTTTTGATTAAGTCATGGATATAAATAACCAGCTCATGTCCTCTTTAAGGTTATATACTTAACGTTACTGAGTGCACATTCAGCAATGAAAAATTTCATTTTAAACCTGTTTTAAAGAGGATAGCAAAGTTTCACATTAACCCTATCCATTTGTGTATTCATTTTAAAAAGATATTCCGGTTATAATTTGTCGAAATAATAATTGTGTTTGGGCATCACAATTTTATCTTAACAGCTTATACTACATATTCATGGATTTAATCAACTAACGAAATTTGCTTTCTAGGTGAATGTCTGGAAAATAAAATCTTCAACAGTTGTGCCACTTTCTATTTTCAGATTCATCTCTTCCTAAGCAGCTCCTCTACATATAACTTGCTGCTGTTTTGCTATCAGGTTTCAGTTTTACCCAGTTCGTACGAAAACTTCATGATTCAGCAGTTCTTAGTCATCACTATGCACGCATAAGTTTTCCTGTCATAAAAAGTAGGAAAAACTTTTTCGCTCACACGCAGGTAGTAATGCTTTAACCTAAAATATAATATGTGTTGATACTGGGTGATGATTGAAGGTGAAATGAAAATTCGGACTGCTGACGGATTCGAACTACAGATCACTGGGTTTGCAGCCCAGTTCTCTACAAACTAAGCTGCTAGGTTCGACTGCTGACTGCATTTTTATTTCACTTCAAGCAACAAGGGTTTTATCTGACTACCATAGGAATTCGTGACACGCTACTACCGCTTGGTCGTACTGACACTAGCTTCTCAGTCAGGACTTCTCATCCAAATCTAACTGAATCAGAAAGTGGGCGCATCATGCAGTTTATCATTTTAACTGTCTGAAATAACTGTGATCTGATAGACTAGTATTTATACTGAATGGTGAAATGAAAATTCGGATCACAGTGGTATATGAACCAAAGACCACCGGATTACAGGCCAGGTGCTCTACCAACTGAACTACGGCGGTCAAGGGTTCTAATCCCACCGCGGTCCGAATTTTTACTTCAACTTCAATCATCACCTAGTATAAATACTAGTCTGCCAAACCACAGATATCTCAGACAGTCAAAAGATGTTACATGTGTACCTAAGGAACAAACAATTCTTCATACCATGATAATACTAACTGCAAAATGAATGTCATGGATGTATCTAAAATGTAATCGCATTTTTCAAGATTTGATTAATAATGATCACTGTGAATGTAGCAGTTGGCTCGTGATGGTTTATCTGGTTACTTGTCACTGGTAAAGAAACTGTCATGTAAACTTTATTTTCTCAGTTTTATTTCACTTAGCCAATCTTTTCGTTAATAAGCAGCAATAAAAAGCAAAGATCTGGTGAATTGTCGAATGGTAAGAGATATTAATGAACTGTCACTCTGGAAGTTAATTATCCCAACATTATGACTACCCACAAGATTACGTATTCGATTGTATATCAAGTGAAATTTCTGGTATCACTAGGAAAAAATTGAGAAACCCACCTATGAACGCCTCAAGCATATCATGCGAAATTAGAAATCATTTTTCATTATGATAATTATGCACTCAAACCTTAGGATTTATAAAGTGTTTATTCAGTCATGCTTTCTGTTTCACATTATATATATTCAACTTTCTCACTTATATTCAGTGTAACACGGAACAGCAGCAATATAAGACAAATCCACAACTAGAGGAGTACAACTATTTCCACGGCCATGCTCCATTACAAGAAACCACTGATGTAATGTATCGGTCTAATGTATCACCACCGCCACCGCCTGCACCAAATTCTAATTTTGATAATTCCGGCGAAATAAATTTACCTATGTCCAATTGCTATTCAGATATTCCACATAGACTGACAAGCAGTTTGTTATTACCTGATAATTTAGTTGAAAAACATTTCCCAGGTCCATTAGAATCTGCTTTTCCTCAAGAGTTTGGACGAGAATTTGAATCACCTCAATGTATTTCATCAAATACTGACTCCCAGTATCAGGAACCGTCATACCTAGACCGTAAAATAGCAGACCTTAGTGTGTCACGTGAAAGATTTTCAGATAGGATTCTACGTGCTCGAAAAGCGATTGATTTATGGGAATGTCAACAAAGTCATAAGTTGAATGAAGCTTCAGGCCAGATACCAATCCCTGGGAGTGAACAAAATAAACATGTGAAGTCTGAAAATGGTTCTTTTATCGATAAAATGATATATCCCCGGCAGAAATCTTCAATAACGGATTCAAACTTCTGTGCAAAATGTAACAACTTCAAAACACAACCGCCAACAGCAGTCTTAACTTGTCCAATCGATCAGAGAGAATGTTGCACTCAGAAGGCGGTTACACCCCTTACCAATTACTTATTCCCGCATAACCGTAATTCTACAGGTAGTATATCAAAAATACATCCAAGTGCATCAAAGACTATGCCAGTTCAAATTGTAAAGCCAGCCGTTAGGAATCAAAATATAAATATTCCAGATCAAGTTAAGAACAACGAGGAATCGACCTTAAATCCTGAAAAACAAGTCATGAACCATCAAACCCATCTAATCAAGCAGCCAACAGAACAACAAAAGCCTAAATGTGACATTTACGGGGACAAAATTCCGAACTATGATAGACGACAGATTAAAGGCGTATTGGTCAGTGAGGGTACAAAAAATGAAAGGACTAGTAGAACAGGCAGAAATTCAAGGTAAATGCTAATTATTTCATGAATAACATTGAATAAAAAAGTGTGACAGTAACTCAACTCCAACGTTCGATCACTGTCTCTTGAAATTTTTAAGATTTGAACTCGTAAACCTAAAAGTCAAGGAGAATGTCTGCTGTATTCATAAAAAGAATTCAATATTTTCTGGTGGCTTTTATATCTTGTTGGTCAGTAGCATATTCATTCCTGAATGTCATTGATAATGTAGGAAGTATAAAATGTAGTCAGTGTCAAATGGGCGGGCAGTAAAAACAATAGTTTTCATTAGTAGGCATGAAAACGAAAGGTAGTTCGGCAGTTAAGCTTCATGTCTTACGATGCCATAAGACGGAGATAATTTTTCGAGTGTAACTTCAAAATTGTTATGCACTAACCGCTGGTAGATTATCAACGTAAACACGGAGTTCAGTTCTATCGAATACCTCCATATTCCGTATATGTTTCATTTATCTCACTTTTCCAGAGATAGTCCTAATGAATGTAGCCTTTGATATTAAAATATTTTTACTTCAAATGGATGTTTTTACTATTTATTGACATACTTGTTTTGCTCCATTGTTTTGTTCGATCGAATTGTTTGACCTCTATTGGCATATGGGCTCGTATGCGGATGCCTCGATACTACCTGAATGTCAGTTATGATAAATTGGTTGGTTGTAGCTAGCAGAAGAAACCAGGATGCGCATTTCGTCCTATTTGCGACTAGTCAGCTAGATGTACCTGCACCCCAGTGAGTGGTGTTGTTCCCAATGGGACTCGAACCCCGTATCCATCATAATTAACATTCAGGCAATATGGAGGTATCCGCATAGGAGCCCATATGCCAATAGAGGCCGAACAATTCGACCGAACAGAACAACGGAGAATAACAAGTATGTTAATAAATAGTAATAACTACTACCCGTTGTACAAGAAGGGGCTGTCGTTCATCCGTGGCAGAGTGGGTAGCGCTTTGGTGTTTGAAGCGATGGGTACAAGGTTCGAGTCGCAGTGGGAACAACATGACTGGGGTGCAGGTACGCTCAGCTGACGAGTCCCAAGTAGGACGGAACCCGCGTCCTAGATCCTTCTGCCAGTCACGATCAACGAATTTATCATAAATGGATGCTTATTGCGAGGAAAGTAAAACCGTTTAAATTACTTAAATTCACCAGTTATGTTTACAATAAATGAAACATACAAGTTTTTGAATATTAGGTTGCTCAGAGCCCAATCAGTGTTCCGTATTCCATTGAGGATGGCTGATATCTGCACACATACACAATAACCACTAAACATATTTTCTAACTATTATCTCAGACTCATAAGGATGATAAAGGATTTATACTAGAGAAACGTCTATTTTTCATGCTGCGTACATCTCTTAGTTAACCGGAACGAAACTATAAGGCGCTTGTATTTCCATTCCAGCTATCTTATTTCGGTGTTCATGCCTGTAATCTCTTATCTTTGAGTGGACTGAATCAGTCGGCGATTCTTGGAATATGAACTCCTGTCAATAGTGTCCAGTCAATTCAGTCCAATCAACAATAGAAATTAAGAAGCCATAACACCCAAAATCTACCCATTTCACAAAGGGAGGCTATTGTAACTCAGTAGCCTAAAAGATAACTCTGCTGCGTTGATGCTGACGAGTTCTAGGTTAGTGGCTTAGTCAGGCCAACAACAACACTTATTCAGAAGTAGGTGCCTCGACTTGACGAATCCCAAAAAAGCGAAATGTACGTCCTGGATTCCACTTCATTTGTTTAGCTAGCAAGGTGTACTTGCTATCGTACGACGCCGAAAAGTTAATTACTTTTTAAACCACGTGCTGAACTGGTTTATAGGTTTTGATTAAGTCATGGATATAAATAACCAGCTCATGTCCTCTTTAAGGTTATATACTTAACGTTACTGAGTGCACATTCAGCAATGAAAAATTTCATTTTAAACCTGTTTTAAAGAGGATAGCAAAGTTTCACATTAACCCTATCCATTTGTGTATTCATTTTAAAAAGATATTCCGGTTATAATTTGTCGAAATAATAATTGTGTTTGGGCATCACAATTTTATCTTAACAGCTTATACTACATATTCATGGATTTAATCAACTAACGAAATTTGCTTTCTAGGTGAATGTCTGGAAAATAAAATCTTCAACAGTTGTGCCACTTTCTATTTTCAGATTCATCTCTTCCTAAGTTAAAAACCTTCGGAATAGAGCAGTTTTCAAAACACTCTAACATATTCAAGATTTATTATTATTATTTGTCTTCTGGGTTCCTAGTGAAACACAGAGCTTCACTAGCACGTCTCCATTCCACTCTGTCCTCTCAACCTGGCTCCACAAATGCCCACATGCTCACATTTCTTCATCACACAATCTACTCCATGTCATCCTCAGCTGGGACGCCCAACTCGCCATTTCCCATCCGGGTTCCACTCGAGGGCCTGGCACGTGATGTCTCCGAATGGTCTTCTCAGTGCATGCCCAATTCACCTCAACTTCCTTCTTCATATTTGTTGAGCGATAGGTTCTTGGTTGGTCCGTTGCCAGCCAGCCAGCCAGACTTCCTTGTTGCTTATTCTTAGTAGTCTGGCCATCTGAACTTCAGTAACGAGTCAGCGTAGGCAGTTGTTGATGAATGTCTGTAGATTGTTGGAGATGCCCTCTCGTAACGCGCCAAGTCTCTCACACATATAGAGGCACAGACTTGACTCACGTTGGTGTTGAAAATCCGGATCTTGTTCGCGATTTATGCTGAGTGCAGAAGATCTCCACACTGATTTCAGGTTAATGAACGCTTGTCTTGCTTTTCCAATCCTGCTTTTGACATCCTCATCTGTGACGCCACCGCCTGTAGTTGAAACGATACTGCCCTGCCTAGGTAGGTGTTTTTCCCGTTGATGGTGATTAGTGATGGTTGTTGATGTTGGTGGTGGTGGTGGTGTTGGTGTTGGTTTGGTATCTTCATCACCTCTGTCTTCTCTACACTCCCTTGAGGTCCCGTCTTCGCTGCCATACCTCTTGTGTCAACGTGTTAGTGTCCACCTGTAGACCTTCGAGTTTGTGCGATATTAGACACAAGTCATCAGCGAAAAACCAAATCTTCTAGGACCTATTCATCAGTCCAGCGTATCCTCCTCTTCTCGCTTCCAACTGTTTACTGCGTGATTCAGTCCACCACAATCAGCAATGTCATGGGTGATAGTAGGTGGCAGCCTTGTCTTACTCCTGTCTTCACTTCAGAGGCATCACTAGGCTTCCCATTGTGAATTGCATGGCATGTGGTGTCTTTATATAGTTGTTGAATGAGGTTGATGAAGGTTTGTGGCGCTAAGCCGAAGTGTTGAAACAGCTGCTTGCCAAATTACTTCTCAGTCGACGCTGTCGAAGGCCTTTTCAAAGTCGGTGAAGTTGAGGTAAGGTGAAGAGTTGACTGCTATTCTATACTCTGTTCTACGATGATGCGTAGCATTGCGAATTGGGTCCGCACATGGTTTCTACTTCCTGAAGCCAGCCAGCCTGTTCCGGTCGTAATTTTGAATCCAGCACATCCTTTAGTCTCTCCAGAGTGGTGAAGCTTAATATTTTGCTTGGTGTGGACAGGAGCATGATTCGACACCAGTTCATGTAAACATTAAGGTTGCTCCTTTTTCGCCAGTTTGACAAGGTAGCCCTACTCACAGTCAGTCGGCAGGTACCTTTCCTTCCTTCAATACAAACCCTCTGCAATAGTGGTGTGAGCATGTCCGCTGTTGTCCCTGCATCTGTTCTCAGTGTTTCTTGTGTAATTCCATCTGGTCCTGCTGCTTTCTCGCATTTCAGTTTCCTTCTGGCATTCAGGACTTCGACTTTCGTTGGAGGACTTATGTTCACTTGTAGTTCTGTGGCTGCAGTTGTTATTTCTTGACGAGTTGCAAGTGTGTATGGTGGTCGATTCAGAGCTTTTTGTAGTGGTCAGCCCATCGTTCCCTTTGTTTCTCTTGTTTGGTAATTTGATTTCCTTCATCGTCTTTTACTGGTTTCATCTGTGTTGATCTCTTCCCTCCCAGATAATAATCTGGTCCACCAGTTACTAGCCGCTCTTAAGCCTGTGTAAAGAGGGAAGTTTGGGCATAAGGCTAGCAACTCTACTCTGTAAAATTAATTCAACCGCTACAGAAACTTCAAAACACAGACAAAATATTAAAAATAAAAACAAATTATTTGGTGAAAATTAAATTGTTTTCAGTATTTAATAATCGGTTGCATAAATGTAAACGAATAAAACTGACAGAAGAGTAAAATATTCAAGCAAGACCAACTGCTGTGTGGTAGATTAGATGAAGTTTTAAAAATGCCAATTTTTCAACAGATCTTATTGTCATTATGTATTGAATTATTTATCAGTCCACGTCATGAGTTTTTTCGGGCTAGCTGTCAAAATATCTCTACGGAGAGTAACAACTTTCATTCTCATCAGCGGTAATAATCCTTTTAAAATATCAGATTGCAAGTATCACATGGGAAAACCAATATTTACGTCAACCTGAAAAAAAATTATTTTAAAAATAAACTAAATATTATTGACAACAACAAAAAAAGATGATTTTGTTATGAAGGTATGGAGAAAAAGTGTCCATCCGTATGACTTAGTCTCATAGTTCATAGAGAATTTCTGGAAAAAATATAACACTTATTGAACAAGCATTATAATCGAAGCCGTTTTTAGTTAATTTTATCCATTTTACCACTTTACGTAAGTTCATTTAAGCATACATTAGATTTAAGAGATAAGAGAGTTATAGCTAAGAATATAAAGCGGGTACAGTTAAGCGTCCTAGTGGTAAGTAAAATCTATTTATTGTGTTCAGTAATACTCACATGAAGTCATAAGGCTATTTTGTGCACTTCGTTTCCTCCTCACTGCTGAACCAAATGAAATAACAATATTGTAGTGTTGGAAAATATTTGTGGCACAGAAGAGTGATTCTGTGTTCTCTGAGCTGAATGATTTAAT